AAATGAAATTCAAATTTAAAAAAATTTAATTAAATAACAGTAACCTTAGTATTTCTATTAAATTTCACTCCCAAATTACATATAACTTTTAATTTCATTCATTTCAAATTATTTTTAGTTTCATCATCAAGTTTCTTTGAAGTTCGATTAAATTGAAATTTAAAAAAAAAAAGTTAATTACACAATATAATGAACGAATAAAATATTTCGCGAAAGTAAGCACAACCGGCGACGAATTATTCGAAGACGGATTTAAATGACACATTTACGACTTTGTGTTGCGTCGTAAAGGGGAATAAAAAAAAAAAAAAAAGAAAAGAAAAAAAAGAGAAGAGTCTTTTCTCGATCTCGGGGCTCCTCTTCAAGGATATCAAGCGGCTCGTTCACGCTCGGTCGACGATCTCCCGTCCCAAGGCCAGCAAAGTCCATCAACGTTAACCGCCGCGAAATAGAGACATTTCGCGGTTGGATCGGGCCGTGCGATCTGTACGCCGTGATCGATCGAGCCTGGATAATTAATTCAGACCTGGAACACCTCCTTCGACTGACTACAAGATCACGTCGAGCGGATATACGGGCCGGGATGAACATCGATCGACCTGGCGTGATCAGTGTCCATAAATCGAGCTCGTTTCCAAATGGACCCGTGAGAGGATGCTCTCGATCGCTGGATCACTTGTCCAGTATGCGCAAGGCTAGACTCTATGCATTCACGTACGATTTTCCATTGATCACGCGAGAAAAGAAATAACGTCGAGAGTGTAACGAGAGAACGTTAATGGATTTTACTTTCTTTCCATGATTTTTCTTTCGAGCTTTCTTCTCTGGTTGATGATCGGTTTAGCATGTGTGTAATTAGGATGTCGTGTTGTTGGGATATTAAAGTAGTCAAATAATGGATCACTGGGTATTAAAGTATGTAGCAAAACGATCGTGGTTGATGTGACGAACAGACTGCCGAATTTTATGAGAATATTTCATATTTTTGCGAATTCAATTAAAAATATGGAACCTCGGTATAAAATTGTTTCACGGATCACATGTTAAAGCTTGGAAAATTGAAAATCATTGTACTCTGAATATTTCGTATGTTTCTTACGTACGAATGTTTCTGTACAATTTTGCATTTTGAAATTTGTTACAAACGTATAAAAATCCGTAGCTTAGTGATGAATAGGAATACTGATATCGATGAGCAGTCTACAATTTCTTAAACCGTGATGAAACGATTATAAAAACAAAGGAGTAAGCAGTCGCGATGTTAAGATATTGTATAATATTAAGTAATCGGTATTGTGACAAAGCGATTACGAGAAAGATAATAAAATCTTATCGAGTCCAGCTGGTAGTGTATATCTTTATACATTCGCGCGAAAATAAAAAAAAATGATATCATTAAAAGCATTCCGTGACTTGATGCTCGGTCAAAAGTAAATAGTAGGTTCGATTTAATGCACCTAATAGCTGACGCTGTTTACGAGCATGCTAGACCACTTGATATACGAGACGATCCCTCCATTTCACGGATTTATCGTTCCGTTTCGCGGAATGTCAAATTGGCAGACAGCAAAAAGCCTGAAACGGCGAGCCGAGAAAAGCGCACTACAGCTTTCGAGAAGATCCTGAAGAGAATCGCGGTTGTGTTATCCCGACAAGGAAATATTCATCGAGTGATTTTACGTTTCAGTTTTTCATCTGATTGCATTCACTTGACAACGAATTATGCTACAAATAAGAGTTTTATTTGAAACAGAGATAAAAAATAACAAATTCAATTCCACTAATTTGTTATTTTTATTTGAAAACTAATTCGGGAGAAGTGATTTCATCTTAAGTCCAAGTCAGATAAATTGTATACAAAATAATCTTCCAGTTTGAGTTAACTGAAATAACGCAATAGATAATCTCAAAAGTAGATGTTTATAGAATAGAAGTTAGAAATTATTTGAAAAATTATTTGAAGAAGCAGATAAGAAATGAAACGAGAAATTATTTTACCTGATAGCCAATTAAGAAATACAAAATACAAATAGATACAAAATTAATTAATTAAAAGGAAAGTAATTAAAAGATACAAAATACAAAAATGAAATAAGAAATTATTTTACCTGATAACCAAATTAATTTCAGAAAAATATCATGTTGTTTGTTCAAATAAGCTAACGCAGGATTATTTCAAGATAAAGTGTCGAGTCAAATAAGATGATATATTTTTTAATAATCATTTTATTATAAATAATCATTTATAATAAATATATTATAAATAATCATTTCACTATTTTTTTATTCAAATGTTTATTGATTGTTTAAATAATGCCCATGCCTGCTAATATTAACAATAACAACGTTTGATACAACAGTAAAATTTTCATAATTAAGACTGTTATTCTTGTTATTTATAAATTAGAAAATGATTTCTGTAGGCACTAAGAATTAACGAGAATTTCATTTTTCAACATTTTCTGATATAACAATTGATCATAAATAAGTAAATAAATTATTAATAAACAAATAGTAAAATATCTTTCATATTATTTAAAAATGTGTAGAATTGATTAAACCAAATTATATATCTTTGGCAGAATATATAGATTAAATGTTGATTAAATGTTATTAAATATTAATGTTATGTTATTAAATATTAAATATTTATCGTTCTGTCTTGTATGAAACATTCGACTGATTTCGTGTTACCAATTGTATCGATTTCAAGCGATAATATAAGGCCAGACAGTATAGAACGAAATCAGAATGTTTCTAAATGTTTCTCATTGAAGTATGCGGTTTGCGTTTCAAAGTAGTCGCGACCTGATGACTAATTAGGGTGTCTCGTTACTCGTACAAAGCAGTTCTTTAATTGGCCGATTCTTGCGATCGAGTTTAACGGTTTCTCACTCATTTAAATACGCAATTCGTTGACTCGTGTCAATCGTAAACGGAATTTGGCTCGACAAAGGAATTCGCAGTGTCAATTAAAAATGTCGAAAAACGATCGACACGATCATCGTACGAACTAAATTTATAATTTACACGATTAATTTGGTTAATTCGTAATAAACTTTTATCTTGACTTTTTATTATACTACGGACAGGAAAGTACGAAAGTAAAGTTAATTTTTAATATTATTTAACATTTAATAAATTTAAAAAGAATCGAGTGAAAGACAAAACTGATTTTGTTCTATATAGAAAGATGTACTTGTATTCATCGAAAATTAAGCAAAAAAGCTAACTTTATATCAAGGAATACTTGTTTTGATTTTATCAGAGAAAACTGAATGTAATTTCTCGGAGAAAATTGAATGAAAAATAAAAATATGAAAAACGTGTCTGATCAGAAAAGTGTTTGTAAAATCTGTACGAGACGTATATATTATCGAGTTATATGTCTTTCGAATTTCACTGTTATTTTTATCAAAGACGTCGATTGTTAACTTTGCTCGCGCGAGAAATTTTACCACCTCTCTCAATTATCCATTTGTTCTGCTCTCGTGCGCATCGCATGTGCATCCTGTACCCTCCTTTTCTTGACATTATCACATACAAAATATTGTCAGCCATTAGCGCAAGGCAACTTCGCTGTAATACTGCAAGACAGTTCATAACCGGACGAAAGAGAGAGAGAGAGAGAGAGAGAGACTCCTACTCTCGCTAGTTGGATGAATTCTCTGCAATTACTACATAGTTAATATGTAGTAGCAGCGACGTTAATATGTTTGATATACATTCTAGAAATTACTAAACGTAGGAGCACATTAATTCCAAGGCAAACATTTTATATCTTGGAGAACAAAAGATGAGAGTGAGCACAATGAAATTTCATTCATGACCGAGATTCATGATACACATATTCACATGTTCCCTGGTATTTTCTGATGTAATAATATTCAGAGGAAAACTCACGTTACTGAAATGATCCTCGACCAGTTTTCATAATCTGTTAGTGTACAAATCGTGTTTAAGATATTCGTGTACTATTCGTAATGTGTATATTGTTTAATATGGTAATGTTTAAGTACCTGTTAATGTGATCTTGTTAATACAATTCCTGATTTAAAATATTTAAAAGTCAAAAATATATTATGTTACATATATTATGTATACACTAAAAAATGTGTTGTCAAAAAAATATGAACATACGTTATTTGTGCATTTTATCATCAAATTTGACAAACATATTTTTCCACAATCTTAATTTGAATGTTTAAGTTGTACGCGTATTATACAATAAAAATGTATTTTAATAAACTTTACTGTTATTCTTACAAGGAACAAGATATTTCAAGACATCCTAATTCGGTATTCATACTCAAAGAATTGACTGCATGCATATTTCAATCGAAAGATACTACAATCCACCCTGTCCCAGCTATTAAAACTAATTAATTACCATTTTCGATCCGCGTTATATAATGAAACAGCTTTGAAGATGCATTTTTCATGTCGCGTGCGGCTCGTCTCGATATTTACTACCGAGAGCATCGTATCGCGTAAATGGCTTCTCGTTGGCGTGTACCACGTTGCACACGACGCGCTATCCCGTTTCTAGATAATTTCTATTGCCACGCGAGGAAACACCATCGATAAATCCTGACCGGAAGCATGAACGAGAGATCCCCGGAAGAAACAAGGGAGCAACCGTGACGAAGATGCCCCGCGAGATTAAGATAAACTCGTATCCGACTTACCAAATTGTCCGGATGAAGATGACGATGACCGTAATCTCTAGGGTTGCCCCGCGATCCACCAGGCGAGCTATGTCTTCGTCCACGTCCGTTCTCCAGCTCGTCCTCGTAGTCCTGCAAAAGAAAACCGACAAACGTCCCTTTTATCGCGTTCGGCAACAGCCAGCAACATTCTCTCTTTGCGATTGGCAAATGCTTCGAGGATCAAAGAGGGTCGAGAGCTTCGAGCACCCGTGATACTGTGTTTCTGTTCTCGAAACAATTTTCTGTACCTGGTTGTCGCACTCGTCGTCGTTGGAGAGGGCGAGATCGGAGGTCGTCACTTGGTGTTGCTGCGTCCTTCTGTAGCCCACTCTGCAATGGCCAAAATTTGCGATTTGAGACCACCCACCCTGCGCCGAGACTCTCACTCGTCTCTCACCCAATTGTCCCTTTCTAGAAATCTACTGATTTTCGTGCCGATTTTTCTCCCTTCTCTTATATTTACACTCGAGCATCTTCAACCTCTTTTTTATTACGTTTTCACTCGTAGAGTTACTTTCTTACACGAAAGCCTCTCTTTCTTTCTTTCTCCGAAGTATTTACGTATCGCGTTGCCGATTCCTTGGTCACTCGTCCGATTGAATATTTGAAGCGATCCATCGATTATTTTTACCCAAAGTACTGACTTTTACTCAATTTCTCGAACGTAAGAGAAGTTAGTAATTAAAGGGGAAGCCTGACCTGGATACACAGTTTACATACACAGATATCGTGTTTATTCTTCGCGGACAAAGTTTACCGTTCCATGAAGCGGAAACCACCGTGACGACTGATAATTCCGCGATTTGTAATCGCACGGAGGACCCGGAGCTTCCGGATACATATTCCGTGCCAGGAGACCGTTTCGATCGCAACGAAAATAGAACTTTCTATTCTCACCCGGTGAAGTTGGACAGAAGAATGGAGCACATATGAGCGATGACAGCAGTGCGGTTTATTTATATGTTTGCCATCGATTATTTACAACAAGTATCGCACAGCAGTTGACCACCGACGTACACCCCCATTGGATATCGCATGCCAAATCTATTTCCGTTTGTTGGCTCGTCCTTCGTCGAACTTTCAACAGTCCCAGGTGCCATCGATCGATCGATGTCACGCTAACAGTCAGGATAGCGTCAAACGTCAAACGATCAGAATTCTCCGAATTTTCTCAACACCGCAGCACTGTTTGTTATTTGTAAAGTGTTTGGACGCTTGGCAATTATTGCAAATATAGAGGAAATATTTGGACATTTTTATATGTGAATTAATCACTGTCTGAAATATATCGGAAATGAAACTTCTTAATTTTGATAAAGGCAATAGGCAATATTAATTAGCTTGATAGTCTTAGATGGATGAAAATTGATCCTGCATAAACTAAATTACTTTAAGTTCGTCTGTTTTATTTTGCAACCTTAGATCTTTTTTTTCTTCTTTTTTTAGATTTTATGAAGTATCAACTGACTATTTATTATAGATAAATATAGAACTTGAGTGCAAATATATTGCCTTGACTAAACTCAGGTTTGTACAATTGTAAAAATTATAGTGATCAATTTATCCTCTCATAAAACTGCACCAGGTGCTTACGTACTCATGCAATTAATTTTCCAGACTTTCATAACATTATTTGGAACAGAGCACATGTTCATGATTCGACCAAATATCTTTTAGAAAATTCACAACTCACTTTAAAATATCATATCACTTGAAATCGATATCGTGTGATAATCAACGCGTTAAAAATTCGTCGTGCAGAGTCTTGCTTAAATCCTCCAGTATTACGTTTGTTGTCTCAACGTTGGCAAAGTAGAACGAAAGAAAAACTAAAGACAAGGGTTTCCCCCTTGACAGCATGCACACTGACACTTTTTTCCTCGCGAACGTTTCGTTCGCGTAGCTATTACGGTACTGCTAACTCTCTCGAAGTTCATTTGTTTCATTCTGTTACCCGGGATACGACCTAGTGTTGGAACTTTGGCCGACCGTAGAACGAAATTTTCAAGGGCCATTTCTATATGTACGATATTGCCGCATCAACTCTACTATAGGAACTTGCGGTACACTGATTCGCTAATTTGCTGCCATGTAATTTACATTATTTTCTCTCTGCCATAGACTGCAAACGGTTGCAGATCTGAGAAAATTTCTATTTCTTTCGAATAATACTTTTGTGAAAAAATGGAATGATCAATCATTCAGAACTAGTAACCAATCACATTATTCTAACACATTATATGATTTTAGTGATTCGTCAAAGAAAAAAAAAAATTCACTCCAGACGTACGAAAAGCTAATTAAAAATGGGCTTTATATCGAAAAATATATAAAATCTGATTAAGAGGCAAGCCTATTAACACTATAACGATCGTTACTGCAGCGTTATGTAAGTCTCAATATTCATAATAATTGATTGACGTTATTCTAGCATCACGTGATCGTGACTGTCGGTAAATGAATCATAATGAGTTTAAATATACCTTATTTTTTACAGATTCACAGTTACTAATCGTTTTTTCATACATAGTAAAAGCCACATATTTTAAACTCTTATCGTTAGTATAACTGGTAACAATTATTTCCGAAAATAACTGGTCGTTACAATGTTGAGTAATTTAGATCATTTTCCCATTTTATTGGGAGCAATGGTAGCAAAGTAATCGTAAATTCTTCTTTGCAAAGAAAAGAGAGAGCTTTAATTATCGACTCGATATAAAAAGAAAAAAACCTTCACGTGCACATATGAAGGACTCGATCGAAATTTCATATTTTAAATGAAATTCAAATAAACTCGGCGCGAAAACGGAGATCGACATTTGCCGGAAACAGTGCGCGAACAAACGGAATATAAGATATCGAAATAATCCCGTGGGTTTTCAATCTTTGTCAATGTAAATATCGGCTCGAAATGAAACGTAAACGAAATGAACAGAAACTGGTGGGGGATCAAAAAAGCCGATCGATGCAAACAATAAGATTGGAATCTCGTTAAAAATGTTTCTGCTAGGAGCGAGAACATTTTATCGTTTGATGCCGCGCGCAATAATCGGATACTACCAAAAACCAATATCGCCCCGGCGAAATATGCAAATCCCATTTTGCTCTTTTTTCTTCGTTTTTTCTTTTTTTTGTTTTCGATTCGCACGATCACGGAACGCTTTATGCATTTCCCCCGTGCCCATACCGTGGTCAGAGAGATATCGATTCGACGGAATTTACTTATACAAATTCCGTGGAAAGACACGTATACGTGTACACGAAACGTCCCTAGCTTATCCATCACTCGTTGGTGTTATGGATTCATGTATAGGGTGTGCGCCGAATTAATCGACCTGATCATTCCTTCAAACAGAAGTGAGAGAAATTGGCACGCGACCAGAGGCATTTTCCACGAGATGGAACATTTACAGTGTGGTACAGATTTTCATCGAGTTTTCGCGAAATATCTCTTCGTTTATTAACATTTTCATAGCTTATTTCCTATTTTATTTCGTATCGATTTATATACTTGCATTGGTACGTGTATTTTTTTCC